GACTTTTATACATCATACAGCCACATTTATACAACTGTGCCTCTATTTTTCTACAAAGAGAAAGTAAATTTTTTTATTTTTTTTTTCCTGTGTACATCTCCAAAACTCAAAATGCTCTGTTCCAATTGGTAATGTCAGGAAGCAGTAATTTTCAAGTAAACAACTACCTTTTACCTTTAGTGCAGTAGATTGGCAGTTCCAGGTCTAAAATAATCCAAATGATTCTAGTGAATGAATCATTGAAGAGAGACACTAATAATAACAAGTCTACTGAAGCTATAGTCACTATAGAAATATTACTCAATGTGGTATATAGGCTGCTTGTATAATCTCACTAAACGTAATATGGAAGCAGTACTTCATTCAGCATATACTTATCAATATTGCTAAACATCATGTCCCATTTTATGTATCCTTACGATGTTGGAATGGCTGACATTTATTGTAATCTGTTAACCATGCCATGCAAGATGACAAAAACAATTTAAGGATTAAGGTGATTTACATGAATAATGCTGTGCATTTGTTATAGCCCTTGTCATAACAGGCTTTGTGACATTTTTCTAATAGTCGCACCACAGCTGTATTTAGCCTTTGGCATACACAGTCTATACTATATATTTGAAATAAACGCCCAATTGCTCTAAATGTGTCAGATTTATATAAAGACAAATGATGAAAAGGGTCAAAATAAATTTCCTTGCAATAATCATTTGAGCTAACGCAACCTAGCCATACAAAAGCTAAACCAACGCAGCTGGGAGGAGGTAGCGTCAGTGTTTGGGAGGCTGAAAATATGGGTAATAGGCTTTCAATATACAAGAATGATCACTTACCTAGTTTTTCGAAATGTATAATTGACTCCTCAAGATATATAAAAATCCTTCACAAATAATTTCTGTCAAGCTTCAGTCACTTTCCCCATGACTTCAGGTGCATACGAATTAGCTAACCTAGCTTAGCAGGCGTTTGAAAGAGCAACTTCCGGGTTTGTCACAATGCATCTGTAACGTCATGGGCATGGTGTCATCTTCTAGTCAAACCAAATTATAATACTCAACAAAATTAAAGTAAAATAAAATAAGCTATTAATGGAACTAAAAATAATAACCGCTCCAAAAGAAATGTGGAGAAGGAAAGACAGAGCTTTCAAAATAAATCTTCCATGATTTATTTCAGACTACATAATCAGTCACTGAAATGATTCAACTATGTGCAACATAGGTAGCTGTTAAGGCATACAAACACAACACTACACATAATGGTGTATTGATTATACATACCAGTATCATTTAAGCGTAACCACAAAAACAAAACAATACATGTAAAATATGTAGATAAAAACGTTAACTGCAATTACAATGTTAGAACATTAATAATTAATTATAGTTATTATGATTAAGTTTCTTTAGTTTGATCACCATTGTTTCCATAATGCAGATAAAAAAACACAAATTGAAGTCCATTATTTACCAAACTAGTTATTATGAAAAATATTTTTCTATTATTCCAGAAAATGTTTTAGTAAATGTATATACTTCCTATCAAACAGAAATGTGTACTGTATTACACAAATCAACCTATCATCTATCAAGATGCAGTAACTGCTGCACAAATTTTGATTACGAGCACTAGGCCTACAGATCTCACCAGATAAATTGTACATTTGTTAGGTGTAGATTTTTACTTGGAAAGCTTTACTAAAAGTTAAGTTAAAATTGTATTCAGAAGGGGGTTTGGAAATGCTGGAGAAAGACCACAGGGTGATGTTTTTCAAATTCTTTGAGTAAGCGTTTCTTTTGTTTGGCTGGCATTTCCCTGTTCACTGAAATATTGTAAAGAAGCTTCTTGAGGCTTTCAAGAGTGGCAGCCTCACATTGGTCCTCATACTCCTCTGATGTCATCTGCTGGCAAAAAGTGAAAGCTGCAACACAACAACATTCTGCATTACTTACTTACTCACATACCTAGACATACAAGTGAAGTTACAACTAAGACCGTGGTGATTGATTAAATAGTAAGACAGACTTGGTACAGTGTCTGGATCTTCACCCTGCTGCATCTTTCTCAGTGTTCCTCTGACACCGTCAATAAGAGATTTAGGAGTCTGAAATAAAACAGAAATGATGTCACCTAATCTCATCAAAAATTTGTAACTTAATATTAAACATACAATACCTTGAAGAGCTCCTTATGATTAGACATTAAAAATAAAACCAAAGCCTCAGTCTGAGATTGGCAAAGCTTATAATTCTGGACAATTGCTTTCTGAAATGTTCGGCAGACAAGGGTCCTGTTATCTGTCTAAATGCACAAGTAAAACACATTAGATAAATTTTTTGGTCTGTCATGGTATTTTTTTCATGTGGGAACAACGAATAAAAGAAATACTGAACCTGGGTTTAGACATGCAAAATCTAAGTAAAATACTGATCTTTCAAAATACAAATTAAAAAGTACTTGTTTCTGTAGACGACAAGCTTTCGGGTGAGCTGCAATGGCCAGGAAAGTCAACAGTCTTTTGAGTTCATCTCTTACACTTGTGTCAAGAAGTCGAAAACATAACTGGAAGGCTTTAATGGCGTCCTCAGTTTTTTCACCATCTAATTACAAGACAACAAGATGTGTTTATCTTTAAAAAAAAAAAAATCATATTGTCACATCAACTCAAATATCTCACTTATAAGTTGTAGGATGGCAATATGTATGTCCAGATAGCGCCCAGAGATAAGCGGGCTTTTTTCTTGTCCATTGTAATACTTGGAAATTATGTCAAAAAGCACTCTCTTTTGGTCTGTCAACTGCTCTTTATCATCATAATATTGCTGACTAAGCTGCTCTCCTGCAGCCACTATCAGTTGGTCAGGAAAGAGCTCAAGGAGATCTGCTGCAGCAGACAGCCATTCATCCAGCCTAAAAAAATGAAATAGTTTAAACCAACATTAACATTTGTATATTGGTCTACCAGGATTACTTACTGGGGAAGGTTTAAGGTATCTGTCAGCTCCCTCTCCAAGCATGTGTTGGAGATAATAAGGTCTTGTTTGGACAGTGGTCCCAGGCTGGTCTGACGCTGAACCTTGGAAGGAGAGGTCAAGATGGAATCCAGAACAGGCACTTCAACAATCTGTAAAAGCTGAAGGAGGGTCTGCTGCTTCCAAACCTCTTCCACCACTATTAATATGAAATACATACATGTTTATTTATATACCACCTGCCAAACATTTTCAGACATTCAGTCATATCATAAAAAAGTGCTGTATGATACCAGTCACATTACCAGCTTTGGAAAGTAACGGGGTTGTAGTGCTCCTTTTGCCTTGAAATGGTGAAGTGGGCAGTTCAACATTTATAGTCCTCAGTAGCCTATGAATTCTCCTATCAAATGGGCCAGTAGCAATAGGATTTGAAATGGTTCTTATTTCAGATGGGCTGAAGAGAAAAGGAAAACAAAAGAACTGTAATGTATATTCACTCCTCCGATAAATGTAAAAAAAATATATATATTTTGATTTTCATGAGGTTCAGGTTACCTGTAGTCCTTGTTCCACTTTGTGTCAAGCTCTTGTGGCTGTACATTCTCAGTGTTTGTGTCCACTATGGTGGCGCCAGGCTCCATAAATCGGTAAAGGCTTGAAGTACTGTCCTCAAATGACATTTCCTTTCCTTTGCGAAACAGCTTTGTTCCCACAGGCTCAAAAACTTTGGCTTCCATCAGAGCCTGACACAGACGTGCAGCTTTAAGACGAGACACTTCACTTGTGTTAAACATTACATTCTGCATCAGATAGCTGAGGACCGCATCCACAGCATCAGAGCCCATGAAGCAGTCTACATGAAAACGAAGATGTCTCCGGCACCGGCGCACCTCTACCTGTGTTTTTAGTGCATGGATTATGTTGTGCCATAGCTGCGTAGCACCAAAAGGCCCTGAGTAACCTATAAAATATTATGAAGATCAAATTAACGCACATAGAAAATAGTAAATAAAGAGGCAAGACCACAACGTATGGGCAAAAATAATAAACGATCAACATTTTGGTATGTGAGTAAGGATTACAAAAAATAACGTTCGCCTTTACAGATGGAAGGGCAAAGTTCATTTTATACCTGCCCTCGATGGTCGAACAGCAGTCTCAGAGCGACCACGCTGTGTATTCCCGTGAGTACGAGCAGTAAAGTTGATTAAAACAGTATTTAATGTGTTTCAAAGTGCACTCTTACCTTGTTGTACATGCAGCACATTTTCGCGAAAACTTCGCGTTTGACTGTTTAATCTTCTAAACCGAGGAGTCAAATCTACCGCCATGAAAAATTCAACCATTCAACACGTGACTACACTCAGTCCTTCTAACACTGTATTACGGTTTAGGATTTTTTTTTTTTTTTTTTTTTTTTGCTGCCCCCTGTTGGCATAAAGATTTGATTTCACACCTCCTCGAGTTGTATTATTACAGTAGTACAAAAGGTTCGTTTTTCCAGTTTGTATGTTGGTTAAATTAGTTGAATAATTACACATACGATATACCTAACAATAATAAATAGGCTAGTACCCAGAATAAAAATGTTGCCTATGCGTGTCTGCAATCTTAATTTGCTGGCAATGTAGGAAATGTAGGTTGTAACGTGTATTCTGTAAATTGCGATTAATTTCTTTATGTAGGCCTAGGCCTATGTATGTTTTGATAACAGATGGCTAAATATAGAAGGTTTTTATTACACATGTATAAAGCCCTGTGTTCTTAATACAGTACATCAATGACATTAGTTGAGGTCACATCCGTAAACAAAGACACTCCATACGAAGCTGAGGGGGTTATACCATTTTAAACACATGGTTTTCGGCTGCAAATTTTGTGACATCCTTGTTTTTTTATAATAAACACTATTCTAATTTCGTATATATATCCTGGAATAATGTAAAGAAATCGTAATGTAGAGCTGACAGTAATATATCAGAGTTATTTTTAGATGACGGTCCCCCGTTGGAAGAGTAAATGGTTTAGTCTATTTGTGCCCGAGGAGCTGAGAGAAACAAGTACCTTTAACAAGCAGACGACCAGAGCAGCACATCGGGCAATCTTCAACCTCTTCTGAGCTGTTGTGGAGACTTAAATGAGGTAATACACGCCTGCACATTGAATCTACACCTACATCTTATAAATCGTGGGCTTTTAGTCAACTTTCTTTGGCAGATTCCCTTTGTTGTTGAGCGGAAAGTCGACTACAAATCAAAAAACTAAACCAGAACAGCCTGTATTGCTATAATTTATCTATTTGGTAGGCCTAGAGTTGGACAAGTTATACAATTGACAATATAAATGACTTAATACAACGTATGTTTCGTTGACAATACTCAACGTTTCAGCGTTATGAATAATAATAGTTATAATGAGAATATAGTAAATTGTGTGTATTACAGATAAACCTAAAGCATTTTATTAACATCCGTGAGGTCTTGTTTTGGTCTGGGAACCTGATCACGTGTACCCTGTCCTTACGCGTGTGTGGACATTTTTTTTATCCATGTGCTCTACTATGTAACCAAAGACTTTCCTTCTGTGGCTGACAGACAGATGGCTGCAACCAATAGGAATTGCCAGCTTGTCTGCGGTGCAGCCCACGGCTTTGTTTACATTATACTGCAGTAAAATCCCTTTGCCAGCGTACTGTCTTTGTTAGTACGAAGTCGGTACAAGGAGAACTTGTGTCTTGGTGACGTATTTTTAGTGGTCATCAAAGTATGGTATGCAATTAACCTTGTTTTAACATTTTATATTTTAATAATTTCGTTACCAGGCGCTGTCATATGATTTTTTTTGTATTAAGATGTGTGTAGGCCTATATTCTTTGAATGACGGTTTCTGGACACAGCAGGTTTACATGGTATCCATGGTTCACACACTCACATGCACCCTCACCCCTATGCTATCTTTAAACTGAACTATCAGCAAGCGGCTGTGTGTATTCATTTTTGGCTGTTGATAAGTGAGACCAGAAAAGGTGACAGTGGCACCCAAGGATCATTCTAGCAACACTGTTATTTTGTAGGTAATAAATAACTTTTTTGCTGATATTAAGTCATAATTAAAATAATTTGTTTGTTTTTTCTGAACTGTGAAATTGTATATTTTCTGCTGTTGTTTGCATAAAAGGACCAGTGAAACAGGATCTTTCTGACTGTTGAGTTGCTTTGTTGCCCTGGAGACATTTGATCGTAGATAGGGCCAGACTGTGTCCCTTTTATTGCCAAGAAATTCTAGAAATAAAAGTTCCTTGGTAAAACAGGTGGCCATGAAAAGACCTAGAACCTATGAATTCCCATGAGGACTACAAAATGGCCCCATCTTCACGACAGGCACAACAACTGGTGTTTTTGTTACACATTTTTGGCCATCTTGTTAATGATGAGTGAACAGCATTTGTCACACTGTTGTCACACTCTCGTTTGTTCTGTCTGTTTTACAGTTGTAAGTTTGTTAACTGCTAATATCACCTTTACTCAGATATATATTTTTTGTACAAGTAAAAGCATTTAAAACATGTTTAACAGAAATAACTTTTTTAATTTATTAAACTTGCCATTATATTCTTATTTAAGAAAAGGAGAATTTACATGTATAAATTGTTTAAGAGATGGGGGGTATTAACTATTATTGTAATTGCAGTATATTGTAATTACAGCATTAACTCACCATGCCTTTAAATGATGAGAGACCAGGCTCCATGTCCTTCAGCGGTGAGGACCAGGGCAGCGATGTGGAGTCCTCTTCAGAGCGCTGTGACAGCATAACGTCTGCAAGTGACCTGGACTGCTCCCAGGAGAGCTTTGCAAGCAATAACTCCAGCAAACATTGCACACCATCCTGTATGTTTTTTTATACTTCTACGTAATGTGCAATAGTTGTTTGTTTTCTCATTTGTTGTTTCACATTTGTCCACATACAGCTAGCCCACCCAAAGTACTCTCCTTGGATGAAGTCATGGATTCTGCCAGAGACCTCTCAAACCTGACTCTTGCCCATGAGATTATTGTTAATCCAAATTTCCATTTAGAAGCTAACAGCCCACCACAGGATAGGTATAACACATTTAATTCTTTATTTCACTGTTCCAAACACTGAGTAAACTCTCAACCTCTGCTTTTCAGTTTATTTAAATCAGTTAAAGATAATCTCCACAAAGCATTCTGGGATATCCTCGAGGCTGAGCTCAATGATGATCCACCTGAGTATGGACAAGCCATTAAACTTCTGGAGGAAATCAAAGAGGTTAGCTCCCACAACCAGAAACACATTTGTCATGTGTTCGCTGGACAGTAACCAATTTAATATTATATCTGGTCATTAGACAATGTTGTCATTTCTCAACCCTGGTGCCAATCGCATACGGACCCAGATTATGGAGGTGCTGGACATTGACCTAATTCGTCAGCAGGCGGATAATGATGTCATAGACATACAGGGGATTGCCTCATACATTATCACTACCATAGGCAAAATGTGTGCACCAGCAAGGGATGAAGAAATCAAGAAGCTTCAACATAACACAGACAACATAGTGACACTTTTCAGGTGAGGCAAAGAAAAAAAACCTTACAAACTACAAACTGCTACAAACTTATATATTGGTTGCACCTGCTAGGGAGATCTTCCGTGTGCTGGACTTAATGAAAGCTGATATGGTAAACTGGGAAATAAATAATATACGACGTGTGCTACTTAAACAAAGTGTTGAATATGAAAGAGCAACATTTCAAAGCATTTTGGACAAAACACCCAGTAAGTGCTACTTTATTTATTAAAATCAATTGGTTAACAAAATAATAAAATAAAAGAATAATAATCTGTTATCTCAGATTCACTGAATAACACCACCAAGTGGATAAAATGTGCACTGGAGGAGTCACAGTCTGCTGTCAGCTCCACTGAAGTGAAGCAAACAGCTGTGCCTGGGCCTTTCCAGGTCCTAAACACTGCCTTCCTCCATCTCCTCACATGGGACTACACCAAGAACACAGTACCGGAGGTAATTTTCATCCTAGCATTCACTACCTCTGAGTAAAATCACTTTCTAATAATTCATTTCCTTGTTAGACCTTAATGACGGATGAGGGACGTCTACGAGAGATCCAGGAGCATTTACAGCAGTGTCAGGCAGTCAACGAAGTACTGCTTATTGTTTACAGTACAATTGGAGGACCTATTCAGGGCCTGCCCACTTTGTCCGAGCGGCTGAAGAGGATGACTACTGTGCTACTGGATGGAATGCACAGACCGTTAGTGCACTTTGTTTATTTTATTGTTTTTAATTAAGCATAAAACGATGACCACTGGTAGATTACATAAATGATTACGGTACACTTGTTAATCTGTGAAAGAGTTGCATGTAGGAAGTGAAAACATTAAAAGGAAATGGGGTAAATAGGTATGCTATGGCATAATTTTGTCCCCTCATGTTAAGAAGTCTTAAAGGTGCTTAAAGGTATGTAGCTTCTCTGGTGGGGGCATATTTGTAGAGTGGTCCTTATGTTTTGTCCATGTAGCCCTTTGGTACTCATTAATTACTTGAGTGGGCTCTGGGTTCTTTTACAGTGTACTCTCGTACTAAACCTAAACTACTTCTAATATTTTGGGACAGCAGTACAGCACCTTTAATACCAGACAGGAAATGACCAAAAGCAGATAGTCTATGGGGTACCAAATTAACACCAGACACAAAGTAGATGTAAAATAACCCTCCCTTTAATAAAGAAAAATTAAATAAAAATGCACATTGAAATGCTTTCAAGCTTCACCAAAAATGTACAACAACTCTATTGTTCATTTACTAGTCCTAATGCCGGCATCTAAATACACCCTACGTTGCAGGCCTGTATCGATGCTCGGGTACGGTGTGACCAAAACCTCCGGGTCACTTCACTCAAAGAGCAAAAAACAAAATAAAAGCAGGGTACCTCGATAATCGTGTTAATCCCACCCGAATCGTCCGGTCCAGTTCCGTGGCTCCTCGTCTACTCCGATAATACAGCTCGGCGCCCCCGGCTACAGCGTGTCTCCAACAGCGATCCAGGTGCGTCGTCCACACCCGCTCCAAACGTCTCGTCCCCGTATTCCACGTTGCCAGAGGTACTCTGAGCGTCGCGGGCACTCAGAGGACTGTCTGGGGTCCGTTCTTCGTTGTCCTGTCCGGTAACGATCCACTGTAAGCTCCTTGTACCGCGTGGTTAGCGAACAGCAGCTCACAGTCACTTTAGCGACGATGACTTCTCAATAAGCTAGTAATAAGCGGAGAAAGTACAGTCCGCAAGCTTCGCGTTGAAACTACACTGTTTTTTGACCGCAAATCACACACATAACTCACGGTGGATTCTCTGGGTGACAAACCACAAATCTTTACCAAAAAAAGCAAAAAACACGAGACAACTTTAGCTGTAGCTGTTTTTTTCGGGCATCTCCCTCGGATCTCTTCCTCTATCCCTCTAACCCGCGCGTCTTCTCACGAGAACTCACGTCACTTTACAGACTATATTAGAATAGGAAAACCACTTTACCACTTGTACAGTATTATAAAATAAAATATTAATATTTCTTATCTCTTTTCTAGTTTTAGCAAATATGTTTGTAACCATAACATGAACTATATTTTAATGAATGAAGAATAAAATAAAATGAATTGTCTTCTTTTTTAAAAAACATTTATAACTATGAAATATGCTTTTGCAAATGTACTTTTAACACATGAATTTGTTTTTTTTTTTAACCGGGTTACACCCTCCCCCCACTAAATGTCTGGTGTCCCCAACAGACTACCAAAACTCTAACTGGGAAGAATGACCCATAACTCTATAACTATTAGTCTTTTCCAATAGTAATAACAACTCCTCCATGAATTATTGTGATTGTCTTTAGCCTTTCCCAGCTCATCATAGGTTAACCGAACTACTGGTTTAACCTGTCTCTTTGACCTTAATTTTGGACTATCAACCAATTGGTCACGGGGCGATCTAATTTTTGGAGTCATGGCAGCCCGTGTTGCTCTGGGTCCCACCATTGGTTCTGGGGTAGAATAGACAGCATCTTCATCTTGGTCTGCCTCGTCTTGTGTGATTACTACTGGATTTGTCTCAGTTTCACTTTCAATTTCTTGATCAGATTCCACTCCTTCTAGTTGTGACTCATTGTGTGAACTTTCCTCATCACTTTCACATTCTTGAACATTTGGTTGCTCCTCTTGAGTCTCTTGAGAACCAAGAACTTGTCGTAATCCTTCTCTGACTCTTTCTCGAGTATAATAACGTTGTGGCAGCTCATAGTACTCGTCCTCAGATGAGTCAGAATCTTGAGATACTTGAGGCTCAGCCATGACTGTCGGTGGCTTTGGAGTCTTTGTCTTGGTCTTTTGTCTGACAGGACAGTCTTTGTCTTTATCAGGTTTTGTCAATCTTACATCCTGTCCTATAGGGAGAATGTGGTCTCTGTGGATTGTTGTTGTTGATACTACCACTCCCCTTTTCTTTTTTCAACTGGTATACAGGGAGATTAGGCATCTTTCCAATGACACGATAGGGTATTGGGCTCCATCTCGATTCCAACTTGTGTTTTCCTTTGAGACCCCAGTTTTTTAGTAATACTCTGTCTCCGATCTCCAAGGACTGGAATCCAACTCTTTTGTCATAAGCCTTCTTGTTCTTTTGATGGACTTTGTCTGCGGTTTCGGATGCCAACTTGTATGCTTGATGGAGATCTTCTTTCAACTTTGACACATAACGTGAGTGACTCTCCACAGCTTTATCAGATGATGTCCCAAAGCATAGGTCTACTGGCAGCCTGGCTTCCCGACCAAACATGAGAAAGTAAGGCGAGTAGCCAGTAGCATCACACTTTGTACTGTTGTAGGCGTGAACCAGATATGGGACGTGTTGGCTCCACTGACGTTTCTTTTCTGCACTTAGAGTGCCTAACATTGACAGGAGTGTCCGATTGAACCTCTCAGGTTGTGGGTCTCCTTGCGGATGGTATGGGGTTGTCCGTGATTTTCTGATTCCCATTATCTTGAGCAAGTCTTTGATCAGGTGACTCTCAAAATCTCTTCCCTGGTCGGAATGAATTCGTGTGGGGAGACCATAGTGTACAAAGAATTTCTCAACTAAGGTCTTGGCCACTGTTTGCGATGTCTGGTTCTTAGTCGGAAACGCTTGGGCATATCGAGTAAAATGATCAGTGACCACCAAAACATTGCTAAAGCCTTTAGAATCAGTCTCCATAGAAAGAAAATGGATACATACAAGATCCATAGGACCACTGCTCAAGATCTGGTGAAGCGTAGCAGCTCTCTGCGGAGGAGTCTTACGCATAACGCATTCGCCACAGTTTTTGATATGCTGCTCAGCATCTTGGGACATTTTAGGCCAGTAGAACCTCTTACGGAGCAAGTCCAGGGTTCTCTCTGTGCCAAGGTGTCCTGACTCATTGTGAACAGATCTTAAAACAACACCATGGTATTGCTTTGGCAGGACCAGCTGAGCAACATCATCACCAGATTGACGCTTGGTGATGCGAAAGAGCAGCCCATCTTGTATTGTCAATTTGTCTTTTTCACGTTTCAGGTGAGACAACTCAGGACTTGTGTCTGTCCACTAGTTCTGCTGGAAAGCTTTAATAGCTGGACCGATTACTGGGTTTTCATTCTGAGCACGGGCAAGATCATCAGTGGAGACATGTTCTAGAGACTGCATCTCCATTTTTAGCGGAAAGGCATAGATGTCTGGAATGCGTTCAGGGGAAGCTCCCGTTTGATCAACACATCTGACAGGACTGTTTGGTGTTTCGGACGCTTGCACCCTTTTGCAGATTGACTTAACAGCTGCCTCTGGTATTGTTACCCATTCAGTGCATGTGTCTGTATTGTCAAAGTTTCTTGAAAGAATGTCGGCGTCGATATTGTGTTTACCTGGTCGATAGTGAACATCAAAATCATACGTAGACAACGCTGCCAGCCACCGGTGTCCCACTGCGTTGAGCTTTGCAGTCGACAGCACGTAGGTCAAAGGATTGTTATCTGTACGTACTGTAAAGCGAGCACCATACAGATAATCATGGAAGCGATCCACCACTGCCCATTTAAGTGACAGAAACTCCAGTTGGTGTATCGGATATCGTTTCTCAGACTGGCTTAGTTTCCTGCTAGCAAATGCAACGGGCCTCAAGTCACCATCCTGAGGCTGGTAAAGGACGGCTCCAAGTCCTTTAAAGCTAGCATCCACATGAAGCTCGTAGGGTTTGGTTGGATCCGCAAAGGCTAGCACTGGCGCATGGGTAAGGCAATGAATGATCTGGTGAAAGGCTTTGGTGCAGGAGTCATCCCATCGCTCTCCAAAAGGTTCAGACTCTTTCAAGTAGAACTTGTTCGGATCTGCACTTTTCTTTCGGCTCTTTTGCGTTGGGGCATAACCTTTGGTCAGTTCTGTCAAGGGTCTCACAATAGCGGCATAGTTTTCTATAAATCGTCTATAATACCCACAGAAGCCCAAAAATGATCGCAGAGACTTCACATCTCGAGGCTGAGGCCAGGTTGTGACAGCCTCCATCTTCTGGGGATCAGTAGAGACACCTTGAGCAGAGACTATATGCCCTAAATATTTCACTTGGGGCTGACAGAACTGGCATTTGTCCAGAGAGATCTTCAGCCCTGCTTCTCCAAGGCGATCCAGCACTTTGAGAAGCCGCTCTTCATGTTCCTCTAATGACTTTCCAAAGACAATGAGATCATCCAAATAGACCAGGACCTGGAGGAGGTTCATATCTCCGACTGTCTTCTCCATTAACCTTTGGAAAGTCGCCGGCGCTCCAGTTATTCCCTGCGGCATTCTCTCAAATTGGAAGAAGCCAAGCGGGCAGATGAATGCCGTCTTCTCTTTGTCTTCTTCTGCCATGGGAATCTGGTAATACCCGCTACGCAGATCAAGCACAGTGAACCATTTGCTTCCTGACAGTGAGTCGAGTGCTTCATCGATGCAAGGAGTTGTGTACTGGTCTGGCACGGTACGGCTGTTCAGTAGTCTGTAGTCTATGCACATCCGTATCGTTCCATTTTTCTTCCGAACTATAACAATCGGTGAGGCATAGGGACTACGGGACTCTTTAATGATGCCAGCACACAATAGCTCCTGTAGATGTTTTCTGACATCCTCAATGTCTGCAGGTGCCAGGCGACGGGATCTCTGCCGAAAGGGTCTTGGATCGGACAGGCGGATAGTATGTTCAACTTCTTTTGCTAGGCCAACGTCCCATTCACTGACAGAGAAGACATGGGACCGTTCAGCCAGTTTCTGTTTGAGCCGCTCTTTCCACTTTCGGGGCACGGGGGAGTCACCAAAGTTGATCTGACTACTGTCAAAGTCAGGGGTTTCTGGTTTTTGGAGTGGCATTGAAATTACACTTTCAGTGCGATACATATGCCCCATGACTGTTCCAACTGGGATGACTGTTTCTCTGGCCGATTGGTTTTGCACTAGGATTCTGAAGCTGTTGATTTGGACAGCGTTGGCTGGCACAACCATGGGCTGTAGCAGGACGTCCCCCGGCAGCAGAGCTAAAGGTGAGGAGTCAACCATTAAGATCTCTTGACCAACAGTTTGCTTGAAGTTGACTTTGCAGGTTATTTGCAGGTCTTCTCCTGGAGGTAGTGTCAACGGGTTGGGACCTTGCCATATCACACAACCTACCTCGTCATCCTGGGTGGTGAGGGAAACAGTGTCAGAAAGTATTTGTTGCGGTTCCCTTTGGGCTTGGATCCCTAATGTTTTTGTTATGTCGACCCCCTTTTTTCTGCATTGTTTAACCAAGTTTCGGACATGGCTCGTGTTGGTGCCAACAATGACCGGGATCGGCTCTTCTTTGGGGCTTGGACAGATCAGAGCCAGAACAGTCACTGTGTGATTGGTACCTGTAACTTCAGCTGGATACTCAAAATCGACCACCACATAGCCACGGTAGGGGTAACTGACATTGGACTCACTTAGGCCCCAAAGGTCGAGACCAGTCACTGGTTGCACGGGAACTGAAGACAGGTTGGCTTGGTACCAGGACTCAAATATTATGGTAACCTGAGATCCACTGTCGAATAAGGCATCACAGGACTTACCATTCACTTTCAGGGGTACAACACTTGGTGGGCCAATCAGTCCCTCAGGAATACCAGTTGATGCAACGGTGGAGAGCAAACCTTGTTTGACATTGCAGTTTGTGTCTGCGCTTGGGGTCATTTCAAAACTTGGATTTTCTTTCATTGTCTTCACAGTTTGAATGAGCTTCCTAATTACTTTGCCCTGATTTTCAGGATTGCGACACTTTGCCACAAAATGCCCTTTCTCGCCACAACGGTAACAGAACTGCTCAGTAGGTGGTTGCCTGCTTTTGTTGGGTGTTCTTGTTTTTGGCACAGCTTCCACTGTTTTAACTGCTGTTGGCTTTGCAGAGGGTTCAGGAGTGCCATCTCTTTGTGCTACTTTCTGCTGTAGCCTCTTGACTTGTTTCTTTAGAGCAACAAGTTCATTTGTGTCACTGTGTTCACTAGACTGGACTGTGGACACAGGCGGCGCACTGTAACTTTTCTTTGCCGCTTCAGGGGACTTGGTCATGCAGGAGGCTAGCTTTGTTTTGAGCTCCTTGACTTCAGCTTTGAGACTCTGTATCTCCGCATGGCTTTCAGCTTCTACATGTTTTGATCGAACTGGCTGGACATGAGGATTGAGTTTTCTCCTGGATGCCTCGTACTCTTCCTCTGTACGGATCTCACTTAAGAGCTGGAGAAAAGTTGGAGGTGAGGACTTTCTTTCTCTAAGGCGCAACTGGATTAGCATGAGATCCGAAGCTGTGGCCCCTCTTAGGAGCTGCTCCAAGCGAGCTTTGTCTTTGCCAGCAGCTGGAAATCCTCCTCTTTGAACAACTTTTGTGAGGGCTCTCTCCAAGCGCCTCAGAAAATCAGACAGCTTTTCACTTGCTTGTTGCTGCATTAACCGAAAGGCAAAATAAAGGTCATCGCCAGACTCTGCACTTCCAAATGCACTTTCCAGAGCATCTAGATACTCAGTGGGGCTTGCTTCAGCATCAGAATCCCAGACTGACTTTGCAATTTCTAGAGCGGGCCCCTTTAAACTTTCCATAAGCCGGCGTCTTTTCTCTCTGTCCGTACCTTCACTTTCTTCCACCATAAGCCAAGCCTGCTCAAGCCAATGGTCAAATGCTTCTTCACTGGGGGGAACAGGCAGGTTCCCTGAGAACAGCCGCAAACGTCGATAACCCCCTTCTGCTTGTGGTTTTCGGGTCTTTTCCAACAAATCACCAACGGCTAGTAGGATGGACTCAGTGGGGTTAGTTGGTGACTCAGAGCGGACTGACTGTGAAGGGGCGTCGGGGAGTAGACCTTTAACATCTTCCATGGTTTTGCCCTCAGCAGCTAGCAGAGTTTGCAACTTGACACCGAAATCATCAACAGGTACAGGTTCACCAACAGAGATGATTTGCCAGCTCTCTCCACTTTCAGCGTTGACCACTTCTTTGGGCACGTCAGCAGTTGAGAAATCTTCTCTGCATTCACATAAAACCATCAAGCGTCCTGATGAGGTGTGGAACATGCGGCCTCTGACACGGACGCGGCCAAAACATTTTACAGTTCCCACTGTCTCCTCAATCTTGGCTATGTCTGCCTCTCCTGGAACCATAACCATGATGGCTTTACTTTCCTCCAAATCTTCACCTCGACACCATCTCTTCAGCTCGGCGGTCAGCTCGATGAGGTCTGCCATGGTTTAAAAAGCCAATTGAACTGGGAAATGTCAAATTTGTAACTTTTGGAAATTTTAAAATCTAGTGTAATGCCCCTTTACGGTACCTAGCTAGACCCAAAAGATCCCAGCGGTGCCTCCATTTTATGTAGCCCTTTGGTACTCATTAATTACTTGAGTGGGCTCTGGGTTCTTTTACAGTGTACTCTCGTACTAAACCTAAACTACTTCTAATATTTTGGGACAGCAGTACAGCACCTTTAATACCAGACAGGAAATGACCAAAAGCAGATAGTCTATGGGGTACCAAATTAACACCAGACACAAAGTAGATGTAAAATAACCCTCCCTTTAATAAAGAAAAATTAAATAAAAATGCACATTGAAATGCTTTCAAGCTTCACCAAAAATGTACAACAACTCTATTGTTCATTTACTAGTCCTAATGCCGGCATCTAAATACACCCTACGTTGCAGGCCTGTATCGATGCTCGGGTACGGTGTGACCAAAACCTCCGGGTCACTTCACTCAAAGAGCAAAAAACAAAATAAAAGCAGGGTACCTCGATAATCGTGTTAATCCCACCCGAATCGTCCGGTCCAGTTCCGTGGCTCCTCGTCTACTCCGATAATACAGCTCGGCGCCCCCGGCTACAGCGTGTCTCCAACAGCGATCCAGGTGCGTCGTCCACACCCGCTCCAAACGTCTCGTCCCCGTATCCCACGTTGCCAGAGGTACTCTGAGCGTCGCGGGCACTCAGAGGACTGTCTGGGGTCCGTTCTTCGTTGTCCTGTCCGGTAACGATCCACTGTAAGCTCCTTGTACCGCGTGGTTAGCGAACAGCAGCTCACAGTCACTTTAGCGACGATGACTTCTCAATAAGCTAGTAATAAGCGGAGAAAGTACAGTCCGCAAGCTTCGCGTTGAAACTACACTGTTTTTTGACCGCAAATCACACACATAACTCACGGTGGATTCTCTGGGTGACAAACCACAAATCTTTACCAAAAAAACAAAAAACACGAGACAACTTTAGCTGTAGCTGTTTTTTTCGGGCATCTCCCTCGGATCTCTTCCTCTATCCCTCTAACCCGCGCGTCTTCTCACGAGAACTCACGTCACTTTACAGACTATATTAGAATAGGAAAACCACTTTACCACTTGTACAGTATTATAAAATAAAAATATTAATATTTCTTATCTCTTTTCTAGTTTTAGCAAATATGTTTGTAACCATAACATGAACTATATTTTAATGAATGAAGAATAAAATTAAATGAATTGTCTTCTTTTTTAAAAAACATTTATAACTATGAAATATGCTTTTGCAAATGTACTTTTAACACATGAATTTGTTTTTTTTTTTAACCGGGTTACATCCATATATATCCCACAGTTCTTTGCTGAAATTAAACATAAAAGATAATAATAATAATAATAATAATAATAATAATAATAATAATAATACAACCACTCTCGATATTTTTCAGTAACTTTAACCTTGAGGAGACACTGCAGGGCGTCAGTGCACAAATCTGTTGTGAATTGAACAAGTCTCTAACAGAGAGAGGATACTCCCCATTGACCTCAACATTGCAAGCTACTCTTACAGGACAGATATGCAGCATCACCGAGAAGGATAATCCAATCCGCACACTAGTTGGTAAGATCAATGGAAGTGGAATAATCATATTTTGTTGTTGTCTTTGTTGTTTCCTTTGATTGAGTTATTAGATTTCACATCACTTTACAAGTATATATTTTGTCTATGTTAATATAGTAACAAATATTAATTGTTAATTTAATAGAGGATCGTGTGCAGCAGTACTTCAAGATGCTCCTCTGTGATGCAAAGCCTCAAGGAAAACTTGAACAAGTACCAGCTGGTCTGACCATCATCAAACATGACCTAATGCCAGTAGCAGCTAAGTTCTTATCTTTGGTAAACTACAATAAGACTGTCTATGGACCTTATTATGCAGATATCATCAGAAGGCTCATGTTCAACAATTTCCCATCTGAAGAAAGACCATCTCACAGTGCAGCTCAGGACACGGCTGTGTCAAAATAAACGTCTGATCGCAATTAAGTGTAGAAATACTTTCTTGGGGAAACTACTACATTGCTTAATAGGTGTATAAAATCATGATTGCTACATTTTAAAGAACACAGCTTAATGCAAGCAGGGATCATTTCTGAAATAATTTTTGTAAAAAAAGGCTTGACAACTTTTTACTCCAGTCTAACGTCTCAGAGTGACTGTATTAGGGATTTATGTATTTTTACTCATCAGTATATTGATATAAAACTCCTTTTACTTTGAAAGGAGTCTGAACAGAATTTTTTTTAATCTTTAGTAAAGTTTACATTCATAAGCATATTCAGCCCACAACAGCCATTTATAGATTTATGCAGTGATGCAAGTCTATTGACATGGACTATACTGGTACATTTATTAAAACTTAGTTTAACTAATAGTTGACTACATTTAAATGGGAAGTAGTATGTAAAATATTACAGTTAATAAAAAATACAATGGGCATGTTATTTATCTTTTGTTCTAGCTAATAAAAAAATAACTGTTGTTTGCATGGTTGTCTTTGTTTATGTATAAGGTTAAAAGATAGTGAAAACTTTGTATTTCTGTTACACATACATTAGGAAGTATCTTTTACAGTATTGTAATTGTATTCAGTCTGGAAATGACAGTTGCCATTTTGTTTTGTTTTTCATTGTCTAAAGATGGACCCAAAGATTCAAAAAAGCAAAGTTGATTATATGTTTACAAATGTTATATTTGTCCCTTGTTTATGTACATAAACTGACATGTGACTAAAAGAAAATAAAGAATATGACATTTAATTATATCTAAGGGTTTCAGATGGCATCACACAAGTATTCTTATGTAAAATAATTTCACAGAACACTGGTTCCGACTACTCTCCCTACTCAACTACTGCGTTAGACGTAGGTGTTATAGTAAATCACAATGTAAATATGTTTTGTCACTTTATTTTTTTCTTTTATTCATAATGAAAAATTAGTAAACGGACTGTAAACAAACACAGCAGGTTTGCCCAGTGACATGTGTGACTTCATTGGTCACATGACCAAATCCTGGCTCGCCATTGGCCGCTTCAGCTCTCACCGGGGTTGTTGTTTTCGTTCTGAATCAGGAAGCTCCTCTCCTTCAAAACTGGGTGTGTAGTTGAGGAATAAATGATCTTTATATTGCAGCTCATTTATTGAGATCTCCAAAGTGACTTAAGTTGGTGACTATTGAAGACTTATATTCTTCATCCAGGTGAATTTTTCCCTCGTATGAATACTCGAAAGGAGACTTTCTTTGTTTCTTTATCAACTTGTCAAGGCATGCTTTAAGACTAGCTGTTAAACTAAAGTGTGTCAATCTATTGAGTCAGCGAGGTTGCGTTACATCGCAAGTTTTTATAAGTAACTCGTGGAGGATTAAGGTTAGATCTGTTGTTTGGTGTTTTAAGATACTATATGACTTAAAATACTATATGACTGTATTATTGTAGCTAAACTTGAATTGTCACTGGTTTCATTTTGAATATCTAGGGTAGAGTACTACATGTACTACATGCACAGAAACTATGATGGCGCATGGTTAATATTTTGTAACCTGTATTATAGAATATTGGTGAACAAATCGGATTTGAATGTTTAATTTTCAGTGCCTGGGGGAGCCATGGCACTGGACGAAGGATCGCGGAGTTGTCTGCTGCGGGTCCGCCACAGACTGGAACAGGACATCAAGCCCAGCTATATAATGGACCACATGATCAGTGATGGAGTGATGACTGTAGATGAGGAGGAGAAGATCAGGACTCAGGTAAGTTACTTATGCATTTGCTCAATTATATGGAATTATAGATAAATATTTGTAATGTCATTTTCATACCAGCAACTGAATGCTAAAAACTCTTCCCATAGGAAACAAGAAAAGATCAAGCAGTGGCACTACTTGAGTTGATTCTCAGGAAAGACAATCGTGCCTACATTTCATTCTACAATGCCTTAATTAAGGAGACATATGATGACTTAGCCAGCTTACTTCACGCTGATTTACCACGCACATCACCTACAGCATATAAGAGTTTCCCTGATGGCTGTACACCATATGGTAAGAAATATTTACAGTGACAATGGCTTTATTGTTTCTGGACAGTGATCCTAAAAAGTAGTGTTATGTAATAGTTCAGGTAGTTCTGAGTGAAGGGGGTGTACCGCAGAGGCCCGTTGTATTTGTCAGTAGACCAGAGCTCTCAAATAAAGTCCGAGAGAAACTTTATCGGCTTCAGAAGGAGCCTGGCTGGGTCACTATTTATGGGATGGCTGGTTCTGGCAAATCAGTGCTGGCTTCCGAGGCTGTTCGTCACCACAGTCTTATTGAAGGTAAACCATTAGGAAAGTGCTAATTTAGTCTTTAATTAAAGTCCTTTCATTCTTGACTTGTATTTCCTCTTCACTGCAGAGTGCTTTCCTGGAGGCATTCACTGGTTGTCCATTGGCCAGGTGGAAAAACCAGACCTGCTTGTGAAGATCCAGTCTCTGTGCTTTCGTTTGGAACAGGGCTTAGACTCACAGTTGCTTCATAGACCTCCAAATTCTCTGGATGAGGCCAAAGAACGCCTGCGCTTTCTCATACTCAGGAGATATCCAAGGTTCAACAAATATACAATATTTATATTTTACTTAAAATAGATAAGGTGTTGTCCAAATGTCTCCACAATGATGTTTTTTAAAAATACATTTTACTTTGTCTTGCACATGTACCTTACAGCTTCTGTTTGTATTCAATAGATGCTTGCTGATTTTAGATGACATCTGGGACAGTGCAGTATTGAAAGCATTTGATATTAATTGTCGAATAATGTTAACCACCAGAAACAGAAGCCTAACAGATTCTGTTAGTGGTATGTTTTTGTCTTATTTTGTCCATCGTCACTGACCATGATATTAAAAGAGATAAAAAACAGTTCCTTTTGACATGTATTCATTTTATAGGTGCAAAGTATGAAGTTGAAGTAGAGAGTGGTCTGGATGAAAAGAAAGGCTTAGAGATTCTTGCTTTGTACACAAATAGTAAAATCCATGGTCTTCCTGAAGAGGCCCGCAGCATTGTCAAAGAATGTAAAGGTTTGTAAACTTTTAAATATATGTGTTACACTTTCTCCACTGTATTTTGAATTTTATTAAAATGTCTTTCTTTATTAGGGTCCCCTCTTGTGGTTTCTCTCATTGGGGCATTATTGAAAGAAAAGCCTAATCGTTGGCGCTACTACCTGGCTCAGCTGCGGCAAAAGCAGTTCAAGCGTATAAGAAAGTCTTCTTCCTATGATTATGATGCTCTTGACCAGGCCATGGCTGCCAGCATTGAGGTGCTCCCAGAGGAACACAGGGAACTGTACAAAGACTTGACTGTGCTTGAGAAGGACGTCAAAGTGCCTGCCAAGGTCTGAACATAGTACAACATAAGAACATTGGCTGTGAGAATTTCCATTGAGTATTTCCATCGTTTCCAGGTGCTATCAATATTGTGGGACTTACCTATTGAGGAGGTGGAAGACATTCTTGAGGAATTTGCCAATAAGTCCTTACTTTTTGTGGACTTGAACAACAAGCCATATCTTTATTACCTCCATGATCTTCAGTTAGACTTCCTGGTAGAGCAAAACCGCAATGAAATTGAGGTCAGTAATAATAATATAGTGTATATATATATATATATATATATATATATATATATATATATATATATATATATATATATATATATATATATATATATATAGTATTACAATTTTAGTGTTGTTCTTGCATGTAAGGTTTAAAAATCTGTTAAAACATGTGTTATAGAGCCTACACACAAAAGTAGTGCATCAGTACCAGCAGTTCTATAAAAATGGACATCCTACTTCAGGTGATGAAGAAAGTCTCTACTGGATTCGATTCCTCACAGATCACATGGCGAAGGCCAATCTTACTCAGGTAAGATATTTGACAATATGCTACAATAACGGTTAAGACGGGTTGAACAGTTTTGTTTCTCAAATATAATTCTTAATGTTATGTTTCATTATAAGTAAATAATAATAAAGTCACTGTAGTAATAAACTAAATCAACATGTCATGTACCAACACCCCTCTTTTGCTATTTTATCTAGGAGCTCTACTCTCTCATGTTTTCACTGGAATGGGTTACTATTAAATCACAAGTAATGAGTCCAGCTCATCTTATCAATGACTACATAGCACATGGACCCATTTTGGATAAAGAAGTAAGTGGCATTCTTCAGCCAATAAAAATACTATAAAGAGTTTGGTTATCACAGGTTCTCATTTTGTTTTAGAACAGTGAGGTACGCAGTCAGTTCCAGGAGTTCCTGTCTCTGAATGGTCACCAGCTGGAGCACCGTCCGGATGTGGTTCAGCTGGCTCTGTCTGAGCCCCACACCTCTGAGGTTTACAGACAGGCTTGCATGCAAGCCCTGGAGCGATCCAGCAGAGGAAAACTCTACTTTGACTGGCTGTATGCACCAAGCAGCCCTTTCTCTGCTTGAATTTTATATGACTATTAATTTTTATCTATTTTATGTGTTCTATTCAGGAACAAAAAATGTGTAGAGAGTCTGTCCCTTCTGGTGATACACCCACACCAGGGCTCTCTGTACTCTGCTTGTTTTTCTCACGATGGAGCAAAGATCGCATCATGTGGAGCCAGTAAGACCCTGAAGGTACTGTGGTGAACATGCATTTCTGCTTCAGATAAATCTGTTTGAAAATAATTCTTAAACCTAATACAACTGGTTGTTTTGTTCATTCTGTCTATAAAGGTGTTTAAAAGCACATCAGGTGAAAAGCTCATTGAGCTGCAGGCCCATGATGATGAGGTACTCTGCTGTGCCTTCTCTCCAGATGACCAACTCATAGCTACCTGCTCTAGTGACAGAAAAGTAAAGGTAAATATTCAGTGTTTCAGTGAAAAATAAATGTACCACACAATTTTGCTAGAAAGGGTTTCCTGTGTTGTAGATATGGAATGTGGAGCGATCAATGCTTATACGAGTTTTTGAGGAGGAGCATGAGGAGCAAGTGAACCACTGCCAGTTTACCAACACCGCACACCGACTTTTACTGGCTACATGTTCCAATGACAAGTTTTTAAATGTAAAGGTAAGTGCTGTTTTCTATGTGTAAATCACTTGTCTGCAGAAATTGGTTGATTGGACCTCAAATGTAATTTATTTATTTTGTTTTTCTATACTTGTGTCATAGCTTTGGAACCTCAATAAGCCATCTTCACAGAACACTATGTTTGGTCATTTTGAGCCTGTCAACCACTGCTGTTTTTCACCAGATGATGCCATTGTTTCCACCTCCTCTAATGACGGCACTGTGAAGGTTATATAGTTGCCCTGCTAAATAAATATATAAAGTGAAGATGTTCTATGTAACTGTACCTAAACCTGGTGTTTTTTCATATGTTTAGCTATTTCAAGTGTCTTCTGCCAATGAATGGAAAACGATAAACGTAAAAGCACTATTTGATGCTGATGAAGAGGTACTTGTCAAATGCAGCACTTGGACTGCTGATGGGAAGCGTATTGCATGTGCGGCCAGAAATACAGTTTGGGTAAGACTTGTTTTGATTTGTCTGTATATACACTCCATTATTCATAACCTCCTATAAGACCCAATGTATAGAATGTTTTGACTGATTGTTTTGTATTTTATGGCTTCCTAGATATTTGATGTTGAGACGGCTAATATGGTGTTTGAGATTCGAACCAATCGATTGAGCATGGTACAGTTTTGTCAAGCCTGCAATTCAAGTAACCTTCTTGCCATTGCATATTCTAACTATGGTGTTGAGGTACATCTCTCAAAAGCATCTCTCTATTATTATTTAGTACATTTATATTGTATTCATAATTCTGTATTAATTTTCACAGCTGTGGGATCTAGAGTCTAACAAAAAGATGGCTGACTGCAATGGTCACCTTAGTTGGGTTCAGCGACTTCAGTTCTCTCCAGATGGTTCACAACTGCTCTCCTGCTCTGATGACCAGACTATTCGGGTAGCTAAAATATTCAATGTTATGTTCCTCCTCTTACAAATACTGGAATTGTCTGTATTTTAGGCATCAATATTATTTGTAGTGTACTCATGTTCTGGTTAACATTTTGTGTCAAAATTCTAGTTATGGGAGACAAAGAAAGTGTACACCTCCTCTGCTGTTTCCCTGAAAAGAGACTCAGATGTTATATTCAGTGATGAAGAAATTATTGTGTCAGCTGCAGACTATTGCAACAGACTGCAGGTAAATGTGTAGTGCCAAACTGGTATTTGAGAGGCATCCAATAGCCGAATGAAAACAAAATACAGACTTTCATATAATAGAAAACACTGTGTCTCAGGTTCGTCATGGGAGAAAAGGACAGGTGTTGTTTCAGTCGGAGGAGAAGTCCTCAAGGATTCGTTGCACCTGTTTGTGCAGCCAGCTCTCCACTGTGGCTCTGGGACAAGAGGACGGCACTGTAGAGGTTAGGGTCAACAGTTATGTGACAAAGCTATGTAAACTGACTATGATATGGTTCAAATACTATTATTATATAATAGCGTATATACTATGATATGTCTACTGTGCTTATACATTTTCCTGAATCTGTTTAAAATACTCATCTTTATTCCTGTTTATGTAATATTAAATTATAATAAGGATAAGAATGATAATATCTTTCTTTACGCCTGCTTTTGCTTTGTTGTTGCCTGATGCACTGTGGAGATTGTCTTGCAGAGCTCATGAATACAGGGCTAATGGTATGGGTTGACTACTTAAACATAGAGCAATTATTATTATTAAATAATAATAATTATTAAATTAAATTTTTAATAGATCTATTTATAAATGACAATCAAAACATATACATATTTATAGCATCTGTACTGTGTTGTTGTATTACTATGAACTAACACCAGGGGGAAATATTGTGCTACTTTCGTTTCTTTAGTTTGCAGATTCCCCTCCATACATAAGCTACATTAAAGATATTTGGGATGTGTAATGATCTGTAAAAAGCCTTTATGTTATGTTTTAGCAGGCTGCAGGGATGATGGTTAGTCAGTTATTGAGGAAAGTTGGAAGCAAGATCCAGTGACTGCTAACCTCCTGCAGGAGGTTGGT